TTTTTTGATATAGGGTCTTGCTTTGTAGTTCAGGCTGGCCCTGAACTCACTACGTAGCCCAGGCTGGCCTTAAACTCAAGGTGATCCTCCTGCCTCAGCCTCCTGAGTGCTGGGATCACAGGTGTGTGCCACCACGCCTGGCTCTTGATCTAATGTTGCAGATGGAGCTTAAACTCCATGGAACTCACGTTTGTTCTCATTGCCATGGGTGACAAGGGTTTCCTGCAGAATCTGGGACGTTTCATCACATATCTGGCCCAAGCATCCCCGCAGCCAATGACCCATCCAGGGAAGAGGGAACAGTCGCAGGTCTGGGCTTTGTCCACACCAATTCGCCAACCCGGCAGAGTGGGAGACGGCCCATTCATTATGCCCCAAGCAGGCTGTAAGCAAGGAGTTAACCCCACAATTGGCTTATTTTAAGAAGTGGGTCCGACAGAAGCTCACAGGACTCCTAGGAGCACGGTGGGTGGCATTCAGGTTAGCACAACCTCCGCCAGGGGCACCGGCGAGAGCGGCTTGGGAGGTTGGGGGGCTCAATGTGAGATAATGTAGCAGCTGAGGTCGGCTGACTCGCACCCAAATTCTGCTCCCAAAGTTAAAACCTCCTTTACTAAAAAGACAAGGTTAATTATTAACCACAACCTATAGCTTGTCTGTTCTATTCCCCATTCAAGAATGCTGCAGGGAAAAGAAAAAAACAAAAGAAACACTTTGTCTCTTCCTTTACACGCCCCGGCCTGTATCAGCAACATAACAGCAACCCCACATACCTTCCTTACCTCAGTCTATGACGTCACCGATGAGTATCGATGGCTCTGGGTGGTCAGGGCCTTTGCTGGCCAAGCACTGACCATCCTGGCTCTTTACTTCTGTCTCTGTGTCTTTCTTCTCGTCATGCATCGTAGCACCAAGCCGGAGGTCAGGATGTACTGCAGGAGTCTCTGGTACCACATCTTGCATGAGAATCTCTCTTGAGGCCCATACTAACCAGAACTAGCAGAGAAGGGAAAGCTGGGAAATGTCACACAGTCTGGCCAGGTTGATGCAGGCCTCATGCCTTTTTTTTTTTGAGACAGGGTCTCACTATGTATGTAGTTGATACTGACCTGGAACTCACTATGTAGCCCAGGCTGGTCTCAAACTCACAGCGATCCTCCTGCCTCAGCCTCCTGCGTGCTGGGATTACAGGCGTGCGCCACTATGCCCGACCTCACACCATTTTTCACCTACCTGGCAAAGAACAAAAGTGTGAGGGCTCTATAGGCCAGCAACTACGTGGGGACACACACGCTGGTAGGTCTGGCAGTGGGTGTCAGCTCAGGTCCAAGGGGAGGAGGAAAACGGTTGTGCTGATTAAGCAGCCAGTCTACCACGTAGATTTCTCCTCCAGGAAAACCTGAACTTATTCACAAAGTGAATGCTGTTTGAAGAAACAAAAAATATGCCCAACTGAAGACTAGTTCCGTAAATTGGTTCTTAACTAGTTGAGATTGCTTTAACCTTGGACCCATAGCATTTAATTTTCTACACTAATGAAGAATGTAAGGCCAGCTGGATGTGGTAGCGCCTGTAATCTGAGCTATTAAGGAGGCTGAGGTAGGAGGATGGCAAAACAAAAGTTTAGAGAAGCTGGGGATGCCACTCAGTCATAGAGCACTTGCTTGGCATGTGTAAGGCCCCAGTTCAACTACCAGAGGCGCGCACGCACACACACACACACACATAAGGTCAGTTTTTCACACCTTTGTCTCTGATATATCATTAGAGGAACCCAGTTTTGTGACCAATATGCCCCAAATGTGTTAAAGCTGAATTACAAGCACAGTTTTGTTCCTGAAGTAGTGCCAGATGATTGAACATGTTGGGGGGTGTGTGTGTGTGTTGGGGACGAGGGGGATCACTATCTGCTATGGACCTAGCAGGGACCCAAGAGGCACGGCTTGCAGGGGAAAGAATCTAGAGGGAGTGGCGCTGGGAGCTTTTAATGGGCCTGGGCTGGAATTGCTCCCCCCGCCCAGACCTGGTCACTTGACCACCCAGCTGCAAGGGAGCCTGGGAAATGTAGTCTAGTGTGCAGCTGGAAGATGCGTCTGAGCTGCGTGGATTGCTGAGTGGCTCCTAGGCACCTCCCAGATTTCACTTCCCTGATTTTTGTCTTTAGAAATTCAGCTGGAGCAGGCTCCTCCGGGAGGCTCCCCTTAACTTCCTGGTCCCATGACAGGCTGCAGGGACCTGAGGACAGGGGTCCTCCAGCAAGCCCTGCCACTGCCTGGCCAACTAGGCACCCAGCCAGCCTGAGGTTTTCAGAAGGAGCCAGCGTGGCAGAGGGTGGCCTGCACTTCCTCCCTGTGCCTGTCTTGGTTCAGGGGCCTCCTTTTCCTCAACCCCAGGTCCACCATTCCACCAGCCATCGGCTCTGTGGGCGGCTGCAGGGCAAGCAAAGAGACATGTGTGCTTCCTTGTGCCTTAGCTGGTTCCCCAGACCCTGGCGGGGCTGAGCGCCCAGGTCTGCTCCGTTCAAGCTGCTTTGGAGACCTGGGCCAGGCCCTGGGCACATGCTCCTCCATCCCTTCACTTAGGGGTGCGCCAGGTTCCTGTGGGTCCTTTGCTGGACCCCGTTTGATAGTCCAGTTCTCCGATCACCCCTTCCCAAGTCCCTGGATTACCATCTTCCGCACCCCAACTGGTACAAGGGGCAGGAGCCAAGGCTCCAGGTTAAGACAGTCTGTCAGTCCGACCTTTGGGGCGCCACCCACGAGCCCCCACTCTTGCCTGCCCTGCACGCCCTGGGGCTGGTGTCTGACAGGCAGACCACTTCCTCGAGGCAGAGGTCCTCGCCTTCGACGTCTCCAGTGTCTGCACCTGCTCTGATACTTTTCACCTTTGCACAGGCCCAGCCGTACCTCTGTCTTCTGGCCCCTGGGAAAGTCCCTGTCAGGTGGTGGGGCTTCCCAGCCTGGCCTGCCCCTGGCACTGGGAATGTCTGCAGTCTGGGCCCGGGCCACAGCCAGGGCACCTCTTCTGTTGGGGAGGTACCACTCTAGGGCACATCCTGGTGAGGAAGGGGTGAGTGGAGGCCAGCCCGAGGAGGCTCGTGCCTGTGTGTGTGTGTGTGTGTGTGTGTGTGTGTGTGTGTGTGTGTGTAACACTGGGGATTGAATCCAGAGCCTTCACATTGAGTTATACCCCTGGCCCTTTTTAAATTTTGAGACAGGGTCTCACTAAGTGGCTAGATTGCCCAGGTTGGGTTGGAACTTGCAGTCCTCCTGCCTCAGTTTCCTGAGTGCTGAGATTACAGACGTGCGCTACTATGCTTGGCTTACAACTATCTTTTGACTCAGGTTTGCACACACATGTCATACACCCTTTGCTAGATCTGTGAGCTGTGAAGCTGCCCCTGCCCTTCTGGACTCCCTGGGTACCATGTCCAGTCTTGACCCAGACACTGACCTCTCCACTGACAAGTGGCACGCCTGGCCTAGCTTGGCTCGGGACACGGTGGAAACTCAGTCTGTGGGAGACAAGCCCTGCTCTACCTCACCTGCAGAAAGGAAAGTACCAGCCCGACCCTGCCTGGAGACCCAAGCCCAGAGCTGTCGGTCTTGGAGACAGGATGTATTGACTCCAACCTCTCCACCCTTCTCTTGGGCGCCCCCACCCTCCCAACCCCTCTCAGCTGCTTCCTCACATGCATCCCACCACACACCTCCTCCAGGAACCTTCCAGACAGGGCCCTGCCCCAGCTCTTCTCTTGCTCCCTGGGACCCTTCCTTTAGGGCAAAGCTGAAGATAGGTTTGGACTCCGATCGCTGCCACCTGGGCAAGTCGTACCACTCACTGCAGGGCGAGAATCCAGAGACTGGAGTATGAGCTAGTGGCCCCCTAGGTTCTGAGGGGTGAGCTGTGAATGAACTGTCTGGCTGCAGTCGTGATCAAGCCTAAGGGCCTAGTTGCAAGGAGGCGGCAGATTCCACTCCCCAGCTACCGGGAGAAGCACAAACTCTACTACCCAATGCTGTCCCCATGTGGCCTCATCCAACACTGCAAGTCCCACTGAGGCCTGTGCTCAAATCCCCACCTAGGTTTTGCACTGGTGGGCACCTTGCTCCATCGGATATGTCCTATGCGAGTCTGACCCTGCCCTACCCTGTACAGTCCAGCCGGGCCTTCATTCAATGACCTCTCCACAAAGGAGGACTTCAGGCCCTGTTTGTCCTACAGAGACCTCTAGTCTGTGCTCATGGAATTCCTGTCGTGCCCAGTCCCAAGGAGGGGCAGATAAGGAGCTGCTGAGGGAAGCAGGTGTTCAAGTGGGTGGCAGAAGATGAGGCCTGGTTCTATGCCTCGCTTCTGCACATCCCTGAGCTATAAAGAACATGGGCCCTGCTCCCTCGAGGACTTTGGCATAGCCCTGCGAGTGGTGACGCCCAGCCCAGGAGTTGACTTTTGTAAAGCAGTGCCAGGGACAGGTCAAAGGCCAAGGTCAGGCTGTGCCTGCTTGCTGCTGAGTAGGCAGCTCTTCTCAGGGGACACCAGGGCAGGGGAAGGGGTGGGCACCTAGTCTGGAGAGGGCGGGCCTGGCGAGGCCCAGTCTGTCCCTTGCCATCTCCAGAGCACCTCTACCCAGGCTTTTGCAGACCTAGTCCTTCATCCCTGCTCCATTAGCGGTCACTGTTAGGTGTTTTTTTCCATCACCACTGGGCCTGAACACAGGACTTTTCACTCTGAACTAAATCCCCAGTTGTTTCTGAATTTTTTATTTTGAGATAGAGTCTCATTAAGACAGTAAATTGCCCAGGCTGGGCTTGAACTCATAATCCTCCCGCCTCAGGCTCTCCCAGAGTGCTGGGATGATAGATATAGGCACCCCCACCCCTCTGGGGTCGGGGGTATCACTGTTCTTAATCCCATTTTACACATAGAGAGGGGTTGGGAGGGCAAGGAAACGAAGCAGACAGGACTCTGACCCTGGTTGCTGGATGGGTGATTCTCCAAAGTGAGGTGCAGAATGAGCAGCAGGACGAGGGACACAGAAAGCTTGTTTTCCCCTCATACAGACAGGCAGGGGTGTTACCGAGCAACATTCCAGAGGAGGTAGAAATATAAGCTTGGGGTGTGGAGTGTGGAGTTTGGCTCCTCCCATCACAGTGGTCCTTGCCGGGTCCTAAGGCCTCTCCTGGCCTTAGGAGGGGCTAGGCCTGCCAGGGGTCTCCGGCTGGGCTGGAGGTGCAGGAACCAAGGTGCCCACACACACCGGGTGGGGGGCAGCTGGTCTCTGTCGGGGATGGGGTCACCACCATGACTACAGGGAGTGAGGTATTGCAATGTGAGTTCCTGATGCAGATGTGTTAGGGCTGGGAGCGCAGCTATTAGAATTCCAGAATGTGAAGTCTCAGGCCTAAGGGGTTATAGCCTTGAGTAATAAGGGAACAAGGCAAGCTGCAGGCATTGTGCCTCAGGGCTGAGATGAGATCAGACACTGGGACTTGGGTCCACAGGAATTAAAAGCTCAGGAAGTGGGTGCCCAGCTCTAGGGATCTGGGAACCACAGCCTCGGCACGGGTGTGATTGGTAGACAGCCTTCTCCTGGGAGTCTGGGTCCTGGTGACCCTCACAGGAACCGGAGCTGCTGCCCTAGTGTGCTCCGGTCTCAGTGATGCAAGCTCCACAGGTTCCTGCAACAGAGACGCAGTTTGCAGCAGGCGCAGTAACCACGGGGTCCTGAGAGGGCTGGAGGGGCAGGGGCAGGGGGATCCACGGGGCAGCATGGGGGCTGCTCCGAGATGGAGCCTCACATGCCCTTCCTGCGGCGCAGCAGTACACAGAGGACAGTGACCAGCACCACTGCTGCCAGGCCTCCGAAGATAATGCTCAGCAGCACCGTGTAGCTCCGTCCTGGAGGGGGCAAGGGTGCTGAGGGTCTCTCGGGCATGCTGGCTTGCAGGGTCAGGAGGGAGCACGGGGAGGGGCATGCTCACCTAACTGGCACTGAGGGGTGGGTGCGGACCAGGTGCCATCAGCCTGGCAGGTGCTGGTGTCTGCCCCAGCCAAGCTGTAGCCACTCTCACAGTGGAAGCGGATGGTGGAGCCCATCAGGTACTTGAAGCCTTCCTTGTGTCCATTGGAAGGGGCAGCCAGCCAGCCACAGGATACCTCTGGGATGGGGGCAGAGCACAGACAACGGGCCTGAACTACTGGCCACCGCGTGCCACTGGCCAGCCTGGAGGACGCTGTCCCGGCGCAAGCTGCCCAGCCCCTCCCCCAGGCCCGCCATCCCCCCACGCTCACCTGGCTGCAGACTCTGCACGCGGTCGCGGTGCATCTGGTGGGCTCTCCGCGTCACATTGGCCACGGTCAGGCTTCCAGTAGCCGCCATGTCAAACCGGCAGAAATGGTCGTCCCCGCACAGCCTGGCTGCCTCTTCTGCCTGGCCGGGGCTGAGGACAATCTCATCGGGGAAGAGGGGCTGGAAGGTGAGGTTGTGCTTGGATTGGTTCAGGAAGTTGCTGACCAAGAACCAGGAGTCATACGTGAACAGGGAGGAGGTGTTGTGCACGGCCCCTGGGAAGACAGACAGCACACTTGGGCGGGCGCAGCTTTGATCGGTGCACAAGGCCCTAGGGTCTCCCCTTGATCCACAGCCTCCTCCCGGCAAAGCACCCCCCCAACACCCACTCTGCGCAGTATATTCCAACGGGTCACTCACATTCAGTCCCAAACTGGTACAATTTCTGGGCACTGGAGTTCAGAGGAAGGACCTTTCCACTTCGCAGGGTGAAATCGTCAGCAGGGTTGTCATTGAGCGTCCCAAGGAGGCCACGCGTGTGGTTCTGGAACTTCTCAGGCAACAGGATGGCCACGCTCAGGAAAGGGCCCTGGACGCTGACCTCCAGGCCAGCCCCCGATGACAACATGACTGACACTTTGTCCTTAGCAGCTACTGACAGGAACAAGCCTGAGCACAGGTGGACATGGGTCAGGGACACCTTCATGGTGTCCCCAGCCTCTGATACAGCTCCAGAAGCAGATGGGGAGAAGGGAGGGCATCCCCAGGGCCAAGCTGTTAAATTTTATACTGGGAATCAAACTCTGGACCTTGGGCTTTCAAGGAGGTGAGGTACCACTGAGCCAAATCCCCGGCCCCAACCTGTTAACTATGACCTTCGCCCACCCCTTGCCCGCATATTCACCAGAATCCCAGGTGGAACCAAGATGCCCAGACTCAGCAGAGCCCTCATGCCAAGGCCCGTGCCCTCCCTTTGCACTACTCCTGCCACCCCCTGGGAACCACTTCAGCCGTTCAGTTCTCTGAGGGAGCACAGCCATGACCAGGGGTTCAGACCCTGGAGGTGCCACTCCTGGCCATCACTTCCAAGCTGCATCCTAACCCGGCAGGGCTGGCTTCCCTGCAGTCAATGTTATGGAGGGGACAAGGGACCACTGCCCAGGAGTGAGGCTGTGCTGGCCAATGGCGAGTCCTATGACGATGGCCCCTGGGCTCCACTGGGCTGGACCCACCTCACAGTCCTGGATTCTCACAACTCTGAGCAGGCCCCGGGTGTGACACGGGTACCTCTGGAGTGGTGAAGGGCTGAGACCAGACCTCAGGCTAGGGCCCCGATTCACTTGTCCTGGCTGTGCCAAGGACTTTCAGCTGCTGGGCAGCCTGTGGCCTTGCCCGGGCTTCCTGCTTACCCTTCAGGTCCATCCAGTCCACCTCGGCAAAGCTGAGCACCTCTGAATTCAGCAGCACCTCCAGGCCCCCAGACCCAGCAGTCAGCCTCACCTCCACCACGTCTGAGTTCCCCTCCTGGACAGCCACCGCCGTCAGCCCTGTGCCGCGGGCCTGGGTGCCTGGTGGGAGTGGGAGGCACGAACAGGTTCACTGGGCTCCTGCCTCCTACCTGATGACTCAGGGCCACCCGGCACCCACGGAGCCTCAGCCTCACCACCGGTGGTCGTCACGGGCTCCGTCCTTCCCTGAATCCTCAGGTCTTTCCTGTATGCCTCCCCCTCCAACAGCACGTACTCGCCGCGCCCACTGAATGTGAAGTTGGTGCCGTCGAAGGTGAGGAAGTGGGGATCCCCAAAGACAGAGGCTGGGTTGAGAGTGGAGGGTCGGGTAACGGTTCCCCCACACCCAACCCCATCTTACTCTCCCTGGGGTGGTGCCAGGCCGGTACCCACCCAGGCGCGAGGGCTGGTAGGTGCGGCAGTCACTGGACGGCCGCCGCCGCAGGTACCGGGAGCACTCAGGCGCCCAGAGGCAGCAGTAGTAGAAGCTCATGACGTCGTAGAGCCAGTGGGACAGGGTGGGCACTCGGGGCGGCGTGCGGTACGGAGGGGCCCCCCAGTCGTGACCGCGGTCAGGTGTGCTGCCGCCGAAGGAGTCAGCCGTCAGGAGCTGGGTGCCGTCCTTCCTGTAGCAGCACTGCTGGCCTGAAGCGTAGTTGGGGCTGGGGATGAGGACAAGTCAGAGCCACCGCGGGAAGCCCGTCCCCCGCCTGTGCCCTCTTTCTCGTCCCCGGTCCAGAGGCTCACCTGGCCTGCACAGAGCGGACACAGTGCACGGCCCCGGGATGGTAGGTGCAGGAGCTGCCCTGCTCAATGTCACAGCCGTAGTCTGTCTGCAGAGGGGGCCGGCGGCTGTCACTTGGGTGCCACATCCTCTCCTCCCCTGGGAACCAACCCTGTTGGGGACCTCAGACCCCCAGCCTCACTTCCGGAAGGACTTTGTCTGCTTCCGCGAGGGAGGCTGGCCCCTCCTCTGCCCCTTGCCCATCCTGGGCCTTAATGGGTACACCGGCTTACGAAGAAGCGGCCAGAGTCAGCCTGGGCCTGGGCCAGGGTGCAGGGGCAGTCGGGCAGCTCGTTTAGGAAGTCAGGCAGCCCATCCTCCAGCTCTTCCCAGGCCAGGCACTGTGCACGGGCCCAGCTCACGGAATTGTTCCGGAAGTCATCACCCAGGTGCCAGGCCAGGGCATGGTCACTGGTCCAGATTGCCAGCACATCCCTGCAGTGGCGGTGACGTGCTAGCTAAGGGCTGGGCCGCACCGTACAGCCCTGTCGGCTACCCCGGGCAAGCACGAGTCTCCGGGCAGAGTCCCCGCCCCACGCCCTGCACAGTGGTCCTTACTTCTCCCCTCTGTAGTGTTTGCTGGAGATGATCCGCAGAGCACCCACCCTCCATCTCTGGTGGACAGCAAGTGCAGGTTTGGGAGTGAAACTAAAGAAGCCAGAGTTGGGGGCGTCTGTTACCAGGGGGTACAGGTACGACCACTGTGCTGTCCAGTTCCCCGAGTACGGCTTCCCTGAGGGAGAGAGGGCCTTGGTGAGTCCTAGGACCCCTCCGAGGACCCCTGGGGCAGGGGATGGGCCCAGCCCCAGTCTCTGGCAAGGAGCCGCCGGACAGATGGACAGACCCAGATGAAATGGAGAGGTCTCCTCTCCCAGCACCAGGTCATCTGAAGCTCCCGGCTTGGGTGAACACCGCCTCCCCTCCATACCCCAGTCCCTGGTCCTAGGCCACCAGGTTCAGAGAGGGTGAGGCTGAGTAGCTTCTCTCTTCAGCACAAACCTCCTATCTGAGGGCCAAGGCTCCAAACCTCCTACTGGACCTGGGACAGGCATCCCTCCATGCCCCTCCCCTTACTCTGTCCATGCTGTTCTCAGCAGCACATTCCTTGCTCCAGATCCCCAGTTCCTGCCTGGAATTTTCTTTGTTTCCTCTCTCTGGAAGCCCCATCCCGCCCCCGCCCCCTTTACACACCTAGGGGTCCCTCTTTTTCATCTCTTGGAGTCCCAAACTCCTGATGCTTCTACCAGCACTTGGCTGGCCTCACCTGTCTCCTGGTAGCCCCAGAGCTCAATGGCAACGCTCTGCGTGGGCAGCACCGAGCTGTTCCAGGTGAGACTGAGGTTCCCTGTGGTGGTGCCCGGGGTGCCGTAGTATTGCCAGCGGGTCTCGTTCACCAGTTGGCCCTTCTCTGACTGTGACACTTTGTAAGGATGTGCTAGACGGGGTCAGATGAGAGGTGACCGAAGGCCCAGGAAAGGGGGTTCCAGGGGTTCCTGAGGTTCCAGGGGCCTCCCAAGGACAAAGCACTGTTGAAATAGCTGGATTATAGGCTCTACCAACACCCCAGGGAGAAAGGGACACCAAGGCCAGGAGAGGTAGGGACCCGGCCTGGCAGAGCTGAGCAGCAAGCAGAGGCCGCACCTGGCTTGGGGACCCCTGCAGCCTCTACCCCTCTGGGCTGGGACTTCTGCTTGCCGGGGAAGGGGTTGAGTAACGAGCTGTGGCATCTCCCAGCCAAGGGACTGGTTCAGCCAGAGGAGCCGGTGGGTGGACCAAGTCTCTGTGTGTATAAATTAGCACTGGGGAAAGTCCCCTCGGACTCAGACCTTGGGTGGAAACTTAGGGCACACGGAAGGTGGGGTGTGGGGCCCCTAGACTGAGCTGGTTGGGCCGGGTGGGGGCTCACCAGCCAGCCAGGTGCCCGCGCGAACGAAGGAGCGGCCACTGTCCATTGAGATGGTAAAGGGGATGCGGCCAGTCTCATAGAGCAAGGGCGACACACAGTGCACTCGCCCCTGGGAGTCCACGTGGCCAAGGACCTCGATGCTGTCCTTAAACCTGGGGTTGCAGAAGTGGCAGGAGTGGACGGGCTGGCATGAGCTGATCCTTTTAAGGCCCGAGTCCCCCATTTTCTGGCCAGATGTCCCCATGTCCTCCCGCCTGTCCTTGGTGTCAGGGATCCGCCCATGCGGCCAGGAGGTTGGGGCGCTTTTTGTGCATGGGACTGGGAGCACAGGGAGTGTGGCCCAGCCCCTCAGACCTCCCACCTGCAGATCACATCCACTTTGGGTCCCAACCACTGGAAATGCTGCACCACAAAGTCCTTGCCGCCCATCATGGAGCCCGAGGAGGGTGAGATCTCCAGGCAGAACTCATGGAAGTCTGGACAGCAGGAGTGAAGGCCCAGGCAGGTTGGGTGGCAGGAGCAAGTCCCATTCCAGTCCCCACAGCGTAGGGAGCAGCTCTCCTGAGCGCCTGGAGAAGACAGCCCTGAGTACCTGGCCCAGATGCATGCTAGGAGGCCACCCCATGTGTAGGGCCAGTCTTTATTCCCCCAGGGTCCTTTAGAGGGAAGCTTTCCCAGGAGAACACTGGTTGGGTTGCCCTGAGCTCCAAGCTGACACAGTGGAAAAAAGGGATGCGGTCAATCTGAGCGAAGATAATCAATCTAGTACTTGACTGGAATATAATGAGATAAAGGGAAGGCCTGAGTCATCCAACCTGGCAAGGCTAGGAGTTGTCCCCAGGACTTGACCACCCCTTAGCCGCCAAATTCTCTAGCTCACATAGCGGCTGCGTCCCACTCAAGGTCTTTGAAAGAATGGTGTCCCGCTGAGGTTGACCCACCTCATTCTCTCAGGGGACAACAATTGAAGCCCACAGAGCCTTACTCTTGGGGAGAAGGCCAAGGATGTGACTTTTGATTTGCTTTGGTCCTGGGGATTGCACAGAGCTATATTCCAAACCCTGTCTCACTTAGTCCTTCTCTCCCTCCCTTTCTTCCTGGCAGGGTCTAAGTTGCCCAGGTCAAGCTTGAACTTGTGCACCTGCTGCCTCAGCTTCTCAGAGTGCTGGAATTACAGGCGCACACCACCATGCCAGGCTTGATGTTCCATTCTTTGGGGAAGGGGGCGGGGGGGAGAAACATTTGTAGCAGGGAGCCCAACAGGGGGGAAAGGGTAGTCAGGAGTCTGCCACAGGAAGCTGTGGGTATCAGGCCCAAGTCTTCTCCCAAGGGCCATGGAGACCTGTGGCCCAGCCCTATTTTCAGGATATCTGTCCCTGTGGAGCAGGAGAGTGGAGACAGGAGTGGGATTTGAGCACTCGGACACATCCCACCTGGCCTTCACCATCCCCCCAAGTAATGAAGTGCCAGGCCTGGGTCTGCATCTCTCCTGTGGGCCTACTTCACTAAGTGCAGTGCCTGGCACTTAAGACAGGCAATAAATATTTATTGGCCAAGGATATGATGGCTCAAGGGCTGCAGGGAAGAGGCTTGGAAATGCCAGCAAGTAAAATCAAAGGGGTAGGAGGATGGTGGTGATGTTTCCCTGCAAGACCGAAGATGGGAGACTGTGGGCTGGTGATACCAAGCTCAGTCTGGGACAAGGTCTCAGCTCTGGAGTTTGGCCTTCTGCTGGACTTTCCAGAGTTCAGTCCCACCCTGAAGAGGACCCATTATCTTGCCTTGGGATGGGCTGGGGAGTGGAGAGGGGGTGCCAGTATGCAGTCACCCTCCACTGGAGCTTGGGGTGCAGCCCAAAGGCTCTGCTGGTCTACTCTGGCAGCCAAGGCCTCTCAGCTCCTCACCGGTGTGGTGGAGGGCTCAGCCCAGACTTCCTGTCCCTGCCGAAGGTCACTCAACACTGTGGCTTCCCACTGTTCCCGAGCACAGCCACAGATGGCAAACAGATCGACAAAGGTTGAGCCCAGAGGAGTGTCTGCCCTTCGGCTGGCTGATCAGACAGATGGACATACAGACAAAGGGACAGAAGGGCAGAATGGGGGGCATACCTGCTGTAGGCCCTGGCCCTGGGCCGGGGGCTGTCGCCAGCAGCAGCAGTAGCACCCAGGGCAGGAACACCAGCTTCATGGTGAGGCCTGTGTCTGCAGCCGGCAGTGCAGTGGTTGGCTTGGAAGTAGCAGCTCCTAATGTTGTCCTGGCCCCGCCCGCCGCCTGGAGCTCTGCGGCACCGCCCCTCCCGGCCCCTCCCGGCCCCTCCCAGTCCCGAACCCTCTCAAAGTCCACAGGTGCCTTCGTGGCCCAGCAGCTACTGACCTGCACCGTTAGCACATTCTTGGCCCAACAGCAGGGGACAAAAGGGAGGGGGCCGAACCTCTGTCCCCGGACCTTGCGCGAGGGCAGGGGGCTGGAGCCTTCAGCTGCCGCACCTTTGACAGGTGATGAGCCGGATGTCCACAGGCTGCAGCCGGGTCCTGGATCCCGGCCCAATCTGGGCCTGCAGGGCGGAGCTCTTGGAGGGGATGGGATGCTGCTGGGTGGATGAGAAGGGTGGCTACAAAACTGGCAGGATTCCAGCCCCTGTGCCCTCGGGGCAGATCTTACATCCTCAATCCTCCCCCTGGAGGGGTGTTGCCAATTATTCCTCGCAGCTGCATTGGACCAGCCCAGCGGAAGGCGGGTGAATGCAGGGCGGTACCTAGGCCCATTCACAGGCTCCGCAGGGAGCCCAGAAACTCCAGGCCGGCCCAGCCACAACTGCCCAGCGCCATCACCCACATAATCTGCATATTCCCTTCAGAGTTTCTCCCCAGTCCTGGTGTAGAATGGGAAACTGAAGCCCAGAGGGAGAGAGGCAGGGGCCAAGTCAGCCCCCTGGTGGCTTCTGGGGACCTCCACAGCCAGGTGGGTTGGACATCAGGACAGGCAGTTGTCCCTTCCCAGGTGCAGCTTCTTCAAGTGTCCTAAGACTGCATATTCAGTAACTTCCGGGAGGCCCCAAGGGGCTTGGGCCGAGACCACCTGGGCTGTGACCTGCTTCTGCTTCAGACCTGGAGCCAGGCCAGCCCCTTGTTCTCCGGGTCTTGCCACCTCTTTTGCCTAATGGTGCTTCCCTGGCGCCAGTAGCTCCTGCGAGTCCAGCCTCACAGGGGGGTTTCTGTGGTGGGGAACGTTGGAACAGGGCTCCCATGCGGAGCTGCTCCGCTCTATCCTCACCCTACAGAACCGTGTGGTGGACTCTGCAAAAAGCTCTCACCTGTCAGGAGAAAGTCGCTTGGCCACAGGGCACCAGAGGCAGCCTGATCACCACCCGGGCAGATGCTGAGACTCACGCAGGTCCAGGGTGGAGAGCGCCCCTTACCACACAGGTGGGGAGTGAGCCCCTGGCTGAGTACCCGCTGGCTTCTTGGTCCTCTAGATGGCAGTCTGGCCAGGACCCACCCCAGGCCACTATGCCTCTGGTTCCAAATGGCCTGGGCTAGGGACACAGGGCGGCACCCGGTCACTTATCTCCTGGATGTTAAGCAAGTGACAAGCACAAGACAGATACAAGGCTGAGGGCCAGCATCACAGGCTTAATGCTGTGTTCTTCCTAATTTAAAAAAATTTTAGAGACAGGGTCTCACTCTATCTCGTCCCCGCTGTCCAGCCTCTTGTGCACTCAAGTGCTCTGATTAAAGGCGTGTGCCACCATGCCCCTCATGAAAACTCTTAGACAGGTTAGTGGCACCTGTCTATAATCCCAGCACTCTGGGAAGTGAAAGAGGAGGATCACAAGTTTGAGCCGGCTTGGTCAACTTAGTGACTTGTAAAACCAAAAAATGGAGGGGGTGGGAGGTGGGATATAGCTCAGTATGAAGATCCTGAGTCCCATTCTGAGTACTGTGAAAAGAAAAAAAAAACTAATAAAATTCTCAAGGGGCTCCACGTGCATATTTGTGCAGAGTACCACCGTTTCTGGGGCTGGTACTGTTGTGGGGGCGTCTGACAGGAAATGTGGGAATCAAGCCCCCCTCCTTCCATTTTTCCCCCAGGACTAGGGACAGAACCTAGGATTTATACATGCTAGGCAAGCATCCTCCTACAGAGCTACATCCTCACCCCTCTTAATTTTTTAAAATCCCATTTTTTGCTGTCTAGAGATCCTAGTTTTGGGGTTTTTTTCTCAAGCCCATTTTTATCTTACTGCTTTGAGACCATGGTCCTAGCATTGGGTTTTTTTTTTTTTGTTTTTTTTTTGGTTTGATGCTAGAGACCAAACTTCATGTTGTCAGGTGAGTGCTGTACCACTGAGCTAAATCCCCAATCCCTTTATTTTTTGAGACAAGGTCTCACTAAGTGAGAATTTAGCCTTGAACTTGTATCTTCTGCTCCAGCATGCAGAATGCCGGAACTATAAGCACATGCCTGCCCCAGAAATTGGCTTCTCTCCCCTTCCTGATGCCCCTCCCCACAACCTGAGCCCTGCCTCCCCCACCCCCCTAACACCCCAGTGAGTTCTGGGGATGGCCCTGATGCCCTTTTAGGCCCAGCTCCAGCCTTGCCAAAGGGTATGCCCTGCTCCCCACATATCCCTTGTCCCTTGCACCCCACCCTGATGATCTCTGGGGGTGCCCTTGGGGATGAGAGGTAACACAACCCCTGAGGCAGGCCCCAGACCCCTACCAGCCTGGAGTGAGCAAAGAGGCAAAGACCACTGTTTCATCTTTATTAGAAAAGAAACCAAAAACGGTGTGGAGAAAACCTGGCCCTAGTAGATCCCACCACTGGGACCCAGGCAGAGCCCGGCTCATCCTGGTGTCCCGCTGTGGATGTGGCTGGCTGGGCTGGGTGTGGGACATTTACAAAGTCAGCATTTCATAGAAAAGGGTGCCAGGCTTGCTGTGAAGATCGAAACCAATCCGTCCTTATGTGGCAGAATGGGCTGCCTCTTCCTGCTCCGAGTCCCACTGGTGGGTGTGGACAGCCCACACGGGAGGGAGGGTGCCAAGAGGCTGCGTGGGGAAATGTGCCCCACGTGGGCCTCTGGCCTTGCCAGGGCATTCCAGGCCTGGCTGGTCCTCCAGGGCGTGGCCGTGGACTCTGCTGGCCCTCCTCAGATGTCCATGTAGTCATCGTCCTCATCGGTCTCGCTCTCTAGTGAGGACTCCTGGCTGGATGTCTCTAGGACCTCCAGGGCTGGCTGGCACAGGCTTTCCTTTCTCACGTTGGCAGCTGACTGGGCAGACAGGATGGCTGACTGCAGACAGGGCAAGACACTGGTCAGGAGTGTGAAGCCCTGCCCCTGGGCTGGACTTCAACTTGAGCCACCTCCCATAACTTCAGTAAACCCGAGCCTCTACCTCAGGCCCCCCAGTAACCCAGGCCCCTGCCCCAGGTCCCAGGTAACCCAGACGCCCCAGCCCCACCCGTTCCCTGTAACTGGTCCCCCTGACACGGCACCCATGTTCACCTTCAGCTTCTGCTTGGTCTCCTCCGAGATGCTGCCTTTGGGGGAGAGCAGGGTCGGGGTGGGCGGTGTAACGGTGATCTCAGGGGGGAACTTGGTGGTGGCTGAGGGTATTACCAGCTTTGGCATGTTAGGCAGGAGGCGGGACTTGGCCCGGCTGGGCTCAACCTTACCCGGATGGCCTTCTGGTGGCTGGGTGCTCCCACTGCTGGGAACCTTGGAGCTGGCAGCTGTGGAGAGAGATCTCAGGGGCTGAGCTACACTTGAAGCTTCCAGGGACTTCCCGTCTCTCCCCTGCTCACGACTGTTTCCCCTCTGAAGGCAGAGGCGTCTACAGCACCTCCTCCCTGCTGCCACAGATGCCTTCTCTTCACCTGCTGGTCTGAGGCTTGATGGCCAGAGCATTCAGAATGGTATGCAGGCCCATGCTGGGCACAAGGCCTCCATTCTAAGCAAGTGCTCAGCTCAGGCCCAAAGAGACCCAACTCTGGCTCCGGACTGTAGGGTACTGGGTCTGTGACCTCCACCCAGGTATACTGTGAACTCTGGGAGTCCAAGACCTGAGACACAAGGGAACCTCCCTGAGCCTTCTCAGGACCCCCTCAGCCGTCGTACTTACATGAATTGTATCCACCAAGTGATTCCAGGACACACATCCTGTATACCACAGACTGGACACTGATTCCCACAGCTGGCCACTCAGCCAGGTATGGTCACAGAGCTGGCCTCAGAGTGGCCATTTCCCTCTCACACTCCAGGGTGAATGAAGGACTATGTTTGCTCACAGTATGGAAGCAGCTGGGGCAGGGACAGGCTGCAGCTCTGGGGCCCAGCAGCCTCCAGGGAGCTGTGCAAGCTGAGAGCGACCCAGCTGTCCTGGCAGGGCTCCACATTCCTCTGCAGCCATGGCTTTAAAAGGAGTGGGGCTTACTCAGAGCCCAAGCCTGGTCCCCACTGGCTGGCGCCAGGTCCTGCTGTCCTGAGTGGTCTGCAGGAAGCCTAGCCAGCAGGAGTCCCTGAGGGAGCTGGGTGGGGGGCAGGCGGTGGGAACATGCTAGACAAGCTGGGGCAAGGCTCTGTCTCAGTGATGGGGCCCAGGCTCCTCCCTCCATGCCTGCCCCCTTCCTGTCCCCTCTGGGCTCTGCAGTGAGCTGAGAGCCACAGGCCCAACTAAGATGTCTGCCCCAGCAGAACTCCTCTGTGAGTGAAGCCAGCGGTAAAGGAGAGGCTGTGGAGACGCTAACTGGTCCACACCACACTCCAGCATGGGCTGTTCCTTGGCTTCTCTGCCCACGCTGCCTTTCCTCCCGCCTCATTTCCACTAGGCCTCCCCTGGGCTGGCCTCCCAGGCTCAGAGCCTCAGCAGGGAAGATCCCCTTGGCTGCCACATGGGAGCCAGGACTGGGCCACTCCAGACTGGCCTTACCTTGGCTGCAGGTAGGCTCGGCGCCTGTCTGGGGCTCTGCAGCGGGACACGCAGAGGCTGTCTTCACGGGCTGACTGCGCCGTGGCTCCTGGGGTGGGAAGCTGGTGCCCTCTGCCAGTCGTCCTAGCCCTTCTCCCTCTGTGGGGACACAGGCCAGCACAGGTGATGTACTCACCCACCCTGTGGTGCAAGGCCCATTCAAAGGCACCTGTGTGAGGCCCTATGTCCCCTTGGGACATCTGGCAAGGGAATATAGCCAATGTGGGGAGCCTAGGCTAGGACAGTTTCTGATCTCCACAGGAGTGGAGTGGCTTGGGGACTAGCAGGTACTCTTCTGGGACAAGTGGGTGTATAGAGGGGTCAGGTTGGTACTTTCAGGAATCTCCTCAGCCTCCAGGTAGACCATGGGTGTGGAGGGGTCTCTGACAGGTCTGGATCTCCCCTGCCCCCTGCCACAAGTGCCGAGTTCCTGAGCTCCAAGTGCAATCACAATCTCCTACCCTAACCCTAACCCTGCAGCCCATCCCACCCCCTCCATCCCCAGCCTGGGAACCATTCCTACTCTGCTGGGATACACCCCGCCTGCTAGGTCAGGGCCATTGCTGTAACCACGGGTTTAGCCATTCTCACTCCTCCAGTCTCATCCCTCCACTTTGCATCACCAACTAAGCCCATCCCACCAAGCTCCCACCCTATCCATAAAAGACCCAGCTCAATAAATGGCTTGGACTCATCATTTGGAGTCATTCCAGGAGGTCTTGCCTGGAACCCCCAAATTCAGACTAGCTGTGTTCATCCCTGAGTTGTCACCATTTACCTAACAGTTCCCCTACCCTGGACAGCTGGACAGCTGACACAGGAAAGGCCACATCCGAGACGGCAGGGCCCCTGGGCTGGGGTGAAACACCACCCATATGGCTGCGAGGTGGGGCTTGCAGGGTGTGTGAGGATGTTTCCTCTCTTCTCTGGCTCACAGAAGAAGCAACCAGAACCCAACTGTGACCAAAGCAGATGGGGCACATGGTGGCACCACACCCTCCTGCAGGCCAGACCGCTCCTTCCCTGGCAAGAGGCAGGAGCTGGGAATTGGCCTCAGCTGTGCCAAGAAATGGATGGGCTCAAGGGGTGACGGCTGCATGTGTGGCTGCCAGCTAGGCCGTTACTCAGCATCAGTGTCGTGGGTGCCTAGGCCTCCACCAGGACCTAGGAGGGCTCCAGCCGCAGACGAGGGCTGGGAAGCAGGTGGCTCAGGACAACTCTCCTGTTCCCAGGGCAGATGCACGGTCTGGCACCAGGTCAGCAGGATATTCCCAAGCTTTGTGTCTGGGGAGGCCCTGGACTGGTTTAGATCTTCCCTGGCCTCTTAGGACCGGCCTAGGGTGGAAACTCTGCTTGTGAGTCCTCTCTCCATCCTTCCATCCTGCTCTGCTCTACCCATCCTAGAAGGCCTTACAGCCTCAGGGAAAGGGACCCTCTCTCATTCAGCCCCAGCACTGTCCCAGCAGCTGGCGAGTCAGCTCTACACAGCCAGGTCCTGGCATGGGTGCGTGGATTTTCGGTGAACAAGGAGACAGACACCGCTGGGAGGAAACCGCACAGGAAGTGCCTGGGCCTCCCTTGGGGAGGAGGTGCCCTGAGCCAGGGCAGGGCACTGAGCTCCCTGAGGGGTGTCTGCCTCGTGGGGGCGTGGCCTGAGCAGCACAGCCCAGCAGGAGGTGAGCTCTTCTGTAGAGCTTGAGGATGCTTGTGGAGACCACACAGTCATGACAAGCTAAGACGGGACGCCGACAGCCACCTTTTCTGTAGAGTAAGGGCAGCCTGCCTCAGGGATGGAACCTGTTAGCTCTCCTCTGTGGAGGCCATTCTGACTCTCTTGTGTGTACCTAGGGACACCACTGTGCAGGAATTTGTCCTCCAGTCCACTCTTCCAAGAGGCTCAGTCCTCACCCAGCCCTGACTCGCTATATACCACCGTCACAGCGCTGGCTTCAGGCGGACATTCTGCAGTCACACTCTCATCACTGGGTGCTTTTGTGGTCAGGCCCCTCCCCACTGGGAGCAGCAGACCCCAGTCACACTGCCTCACGGCCAGGGAGACGTGGCCCTTACTGAGGGCCAGCTCCTTCCTGCTGATGGCTTTTCCTGTTCTGGAGGCTGCAAGATGTAGCTGGGGCAAAATGCCCATCCTAGTGTGGCCCTGACACCACCTGGTCACCAGCCCAGCAGGGCTATAGTCAAATGCTGTTTGCTTACTGGTCCCTCAGCAGCTCTAAGGAAGGCAGGCGTGGAAGCGGGGGTCGGCCAGTCAGGGAGCCTGCTAGGTCAGGTGCCAGGGCCTGCGGCAAAGTCCCTCGGCCAGGTCAGAGGGCACACATTCCCAGCTGAGGGCTATCCTTACCCAGGGTCATTTAAAAGTTATATCCTGGGGCTGGGGATTTAGTTCAGTGGTTAGGTGACCTGCCCTACAAGCGCAAGGACCCGAGTTCAATCCCTGGTACCAAAAAAAAAAAAAAAAAAAAAAAAAAAAAAAAAAAAAAAAAGCAAAAGTCCATTTAATCTAGTTTGGAGGAAGAAAACTGAAAAACATTAACTCTCCAGATTGAAGAGTGTACATTTAGTTTTTTCTTTTTTGAGACAGGGTCTCACTATGTAGTTCAGACTGCCCTGGAACTCACTGTGTAGCCCAGGCTGGTCTCGAACTCACAGCGATCCTCCTGCCTCAGCCTCCTGAGTGCTGGGATTATAGGCGTGCACCACCATACCCTGCGATTCTTTTTTCTTTTGGTACCGGAGATCAAACTCCTTGTGCTTGCCAAGGCAGGCGGTGAAACCACTTAGCTAAATCCCTGGCTCTAAGAGTACACATTTGGAAACAGATAATTTTCCATATCCAACAGAAGGAAAAAGGATGTGAACTGTGGGTCTGGGAACACATGGCCGTGGCCAGTGCAACTGTGACTGCCTAGGTTAGAGGGTTTTTACTCTTTCAGGATTCTCCAAGGAAAACTGGGGACAGCACCAGGTGAACACCAGCATCTCCTAATGGCTGAGCTAGGTAAGAGCTGAGTGGGGGACCTCCAGTCTAAGCCTCCACCTGGGCAGTGTGGCCTGTGGCTGACCGGGGCTTCTGAAGTCTGTCCTCCTGCCAGGTATTCCTGCTACCGAGTGCACCATTGCTCAGATGGGTCTGGAAATGGCACAGCCCAAGTCACACGGGTGAAAGCAACAGGCTTAGAAGTGACCCTCAATCACAGGACTGTGACTGGGAGAACAGGCAAGCTTCAGGAATGACACTCAGACTGTGGGCCAGCATCAGGCCCTCAGGCAAGGACAGAGGCTAGGTCCCTAAAAGGGGAGAGAGCAGGGAAAGGCTGACAGGCTGGGGAGGCTAATCCACCTCTGGATAGTCCCTGGGGGCACAGGGAACACACCAACCAGGCTGGTATGTGCTGGAGATCCACCAGCTGGAGAGGTGAGCTATGTATGGAATGACTGTGTATCTGACATAGGTCTTCAGAGCCTGGCCACGGAACCAAGATCCTGAGAATTAACAGGGGGCCCCACGCCCTGGAGGTGGGCACACCCTTCAGATGAGCCCTGATGCACAACGACTGCTGCAGAACTAGGGATGTGGCTGTACCAGCGAAGGGGATGGTGCCTTAACCTCTCTCCTACTCACTAGCTTGTGTGTTGCTGCTTCAGTGCCTCCTGCTCCCAGGAAAGGCCCTGGGCAGCCCTGCCAGTAGGATGTCCTTCCAGGGGATCCCGGTTTTTAAAAAGAAGTAGGGTTCGGGCTAGGGATTTAGCTCAATGGTTCCACCGCCTGCCTCACAATTACAAGGTCCTAAGTTCAAGCCTCAGTTAAAAAATTAAAAAAAAAAAAAAGTAGGGTTCCCACTAATGCAGCCAGCCAGGCTGTATACAACCTGCCCCCATCCGATTTTCCTTTACAAGTCCAGTGACCCGGCCCCTCCTCCAATCTGGCTGGCTTTCATCTGTATTGCTCATGGGAGTGTGATGGGGCTGGGAGAACTGGGGCCCAGCGATTACTGAGGCAGGTGCTGGTGGTCCTGTAGGCTTCCTAGGAGGCCTTTTCTTCTCTAGTTCTCCTTTTTCTTATCTGACCAAGATGTCTTTCATCATCATCATCATCATTTTGTGATACTAAGGATTGAACCCGGGGAATACTGAGCCACATTACCAACCCTATTTATTTATTCATTTTTGCAGTACTGGGGATCAAACCTACCTAAGCTCTTTACTATTTCCAGCCCTGGCTCTGCTTTAGGAGGCTGAAGGAGGATCACAAGTTAAAGGCAATTTAGTGAGACCCTGTCTCAAAATAAAAAGGGCTGGGGTATGTGTAGCTCAGTGGTAGAAGGCTTTCCTGGCAAGGATAAGACCCCGGGTTCAGTCCCCAGTACTGTTAAGGGCTGGGGCCGAGGGAGACGGACAGACACTGGATGTGCCAAATGACACCAATGTTGCCAGGTCTGACAAGTGGACCAGCAGCTGCCACCCTCTGAGGCAGGATCACCACGCTGGGGGGTGCTTCCCCTTCCACCCACATTCTCCACTGGTGGCGAGAGCCCGAGCACACCTTTGGCAGAGCTGGTATGGGGGCCTCGTACCACCAGGTGGACTGGGATGGGACAGACTCACCTGGGCCTAGAGAGGCCATGCTGGGGGTGGCCTCGGGCCTGGGTGGCCGAGGGGTTCCGGAGTCCTTGGATGGGTCTGGGGTGGAGGCTGATGCTGAGGGAGGACAGCTGATGACAGCCATGGTGGCAGCCAGCGCAGGGCGGGGCTTGGTGTGGGTGTCACTGGCCCTCTGCAAACTATCAGCTGGTACAGGGTCCAGTGTTGTGGGAGCCACAGCTACGGGGAAGAAGTTCTCTCGGCTGTCCTTGGGGTGCTTGGGGGTGGTGGGTGTGTCCCCTGAAGCCTGTGAAGACAGAGGAGAGGTGAGGGAAGGCTGGGGCAGGGGGCTCTGAGCCCATGTGTCCCCTGATGTATACCAGCCTAACAGGATACTTCATCTGGATCCGGGGTGCCAACATGACCCTTAGTGCGTGCGTCACTCTGAGCCCCACAATGCTGCCAACAACATCCAGGGACATGCTGCCAGGATACAGCTGATGCTAGCACGCAGCTGTGGACCCAGCATCCCTCTCTGGGAGACATATGGCTGTGCTGGTGGGGACTCAGGACCTCCCCGCTCACTCCAGGGGGCCAACCTGAAAAAAGTGTGTCCAGCCAAGAGTCTAGGTGTGGGGGTGCGGGGCCCGACCTGGGGCCTGCAGGCATGGGCAACCAATCTTGGAGGGTGACTTCCCAAGGACCAGGAGTGGGAAGGTCCCCAGAGGAACACTGCAAGACTACTTCTCGAGCTCAGGAAAGCAATCAGCTGCAGCCCTAGCCATGGGGATTGATGCTGCCCCCCGCTCCCCACCCCATGCTTGGCCACACAGCCCGGCCATAGGCCTTAGGCTCTCAGGTGAGCAGAGCCTCAGAGGTCCCTCAGAGTCTTCCTTTGCAAATGTTCCCTTTGGCACAGTTATTTTCAGGACTTTTTTTTCACAGGACCCACTTCTGTTTCCTTGAAAGCCCAGACCTCCTGGGATAGGTGTGAAGACCATGGCACTCAGTAACCTGCTTCAAAGAAGGTGAGGCAGGGCACTCCTCACAGGAGAGCTGAGAACGCTCTAGCCTTCGATGCCCTCCCCAGCACCAGGCCTGGGCCATAGGCCTGCACTCAGGCCTGTAGTGCCTGAGCCATCCATACTAGAGAAGCAGGACCCTCACCCTCACCCATCAGGGCAGGAGGGTCACATGCCCACTGGTGGGCACCTCAGTGCTTGGGAGGCAGTTGACTTCCAGTGATGACCTGGTTTCTTCTGATGTTTGTCAGTTTGAAATGCCCTCTGGAGCTGGGCGTGGTGGCACACACCCATAATCCAGCACTCTGGAGGCTGAAGCAGGATTGCAGTGATCTGAGGTTAGCCGGGACTAGGAAGTGAGTTCAAGGCCAGCTTGAACTACACAGCGAGTCAGAAAGACAGACAGAAATGAAGAAAGAAACAAAGAAAAAGAAAAGAAAAGAAGGAAAAGACGAAAAGGAGGCAGGCAGGCAGGCAGGCAGGCCGACTGGTCAGCCCGCCCGCCCAGTTCCATGTGTCCATGTTGTGGGTGCTCTGGGATAAGCCGCAGACCTGTGCTATAGGCAGCAGTCCGCAGGGAGGGCCAGGCAGGAGGATAGGCATGGCTCTCAGGCCTCCGGTGGCCCACAAAGATACCGATAGTGTTGTATCCCCACCTGGGCAGATGTGCAGAAGGCTAACTGCACTGAGCCTCTAATGGTGTCCAGCACCCTCTAGGTGTGCGCAGGTCTGCCATGGCCACTGGGACGTGCCAAAAGCAAAACAGATGCTTCCTTGAGGGGCAAGGCAAGTGATTTGGAGAACCACACTTTCCTCCTACCTGGTGCTGGTCAGAGGTGGGTCCTGGACAGCTGAGACTGTCCCACCTGCCCACCCCAAGACAGGTTGACCCTGGAGGGACGCTGAGAAAGCACCCTGCGTTTTCCACCCCCAGGAGGGACCTTGGCTGCCCATCCGCACTGACATGGACATGAGGGCAGGGGAGGCTGTTGGGAGCTTGAGAGGAGACTTCTAGGTGCATCTCTGTAGAGATTTTTTTTTTTTCCTTTTTCTTTTTGGAGTCAGGGTCTCATTATGTAGTTCAGGCTGGTCTTGAACTCACTATGTAGTCCAGGCTGACCTCAAATTCATGGTGACCCTCCTGCCTCAGCCTCTGAGAAATGGGATTACAGGCTTACAGGAATGTGCCACCATGCCTGGCTTCCTCAGAAGGGAAAAAATGCACCAGCACTGGGAAAGATGGGGAGGCAGGAAATGGCCTCCTGAGACTAGGCTTGAGGGAGACGAAGGCTAGAGTAGAGCAGCCAGTCACCAGCAGTTTGCTCCAGGTTCAGGGTGAAGTCACAGCCAGTCATGTAGTGAGAGGACCTGAGGCCGTGTCAGGGGCATCCCCACCCCACTGGAGTCTAGGCAGTGGATCAGAGTATGAACAGGAAGGGATTTCAGGTCTGTCAAGTTGGCCATCTACCCTACACATGGGCTCTGTACTCCAAGAGGGGACCGCTGGCACATGGCCTGCATTTCCCAGCAGCAAGCAACCTAAAAGGATCCCAGTTTCTTAGCACTGACCACTCTCGCCATCCACTGTCTTTCAAGGGTCCCTGACAAGAAGTTCCGGCAGTCCACCTCTTAGAGCTCCCAATATGTGTGTACTCTGGCAGCTGGTGGTCCCCTCTGGCTTTGGTCTTCTCAAATAAGAAATGAGACTATACCCTGCCTTGGCTCTTGCCAGTTCAGCAAGTGGGTCAGAAACAGCCTTCTTTCCTGAGTGGTCATTGCTCATGCCCACCTGGCACCCTGGGCTGGTGGAGGAGGCAGGACAGCTTCCCAGTAGGTCCTAGGGAGGCTGTGGCCACTGTGCTGGGCACTTTGGCTACTTGGGCAATAATAAGGTGGTGAGGACTGCTGGCAGGTTGGGTCATATCCTACCAAGGACTCTGGCCCTCCAGCTGTGGGGCTGGGGCCACCTGCTCCTTCAGCGGTGACCTGTTCAGTCAAAGGGAACCCCTGGATAGGGGTGATAACCGATGCCCCATTCCACTGACATGAATCCCAGGGTGGGAACCCTGGGACTGGAACCCCAGGGTGCTATCTGCCAGCTGCTGGCCCTCCTGGGATGAGGCAGCCTAAGGCTGTCAAGTCACCAGTTGGACAAAAGGCCACCTGCTCAAATGACAAGCCACAGCTCTCTGACCTGCAGGTTCTCAAAGCCGTCAGGCTTCCTGGACAATCCACCCACTGAGTTTGGATCTCATCCCTTTTACTTGTCATCAGGACCCTTCCTGGTGGTCACATCCTGTTCATGTGCCTTCCATTGGGCTGGGGCTTTCCCATAAGGGCCCAACTCCTTACTCCCCTTCTGCTCAAGCTTTTCACAGTCCCATCACTTCTCAAAAACAGCCCTTTTCCCTGGGTCCCATAACTGGTGGGCCCCCATCCTTGCTGGCCTGACCCTGGCCTGCCCATTGGCTCTTTGAACACGATTTCTTGGACACCACCCTATCCTGTTCCAAACATCCCCCTGCACCTGTGACCCTGCTGAAGTGCTTGGCCCTGCCTGTCTTCTTCCGGCCTCAGGTCTATACTGATGGCTTCCGGGACACCTACACTAGGGATCCTCACACTCAGGGGTCTGGACTGAATTGTCCCTCCAAGAAGGGGCCCTTGACCTCTCGTCCTCCTTAGCATTTCCCTTATGAGAGTCTCAGCCTCAAAAGAACCCAGTCTCAACCCCGGCTGGGTGCCCTCTCCCGGGTACTTCCCAGAAGAGGTCTCACCCTCATCTCCACCCTTGCCAATCCACCCTCTCACCATCTCTGTAGCCCTGCACTCCCCTGCCTAATAAACACAGAATTCCCACCACCCTCTTAGACTAAACCCCTAAACCCCACCACTACGTGCCTCCTTCCAGGGGGCTCCTGTACAGGCTGCATCTCTACCTCTGTCTCCACCCACTTTGCTATTAATCAGCCTGACTCTAACCACCAGTTTCTTTACCTCTGTCCCAAACAGAAGGACAAGGACGTTGCCCGGTGAGGTCAATGGGCAAAGGGCCATCTCCCTTCTATGGACAAGGGAGCAAGGGAAAGCAAAGATCACGTGTCTACATGTCAAGAGCCGGAATCTGGGCCTTCTCAAGGACTCCCCCACTAGCCCTGGTTCAGCCACCTTGTGTTCCTGTCTCCTTGGCCACCTCTAACCATGGGAACTATTCACCGCTTGACCTGGGCCGAGGTATAGGTCAGGCTTACCTGTCTCTGGGCAGCAGCTCCAAGGTGGACTTGACAGAACTTCACAGCTTGCTCCAGTGCAGCCTCCTCGTCTACCTGAGCAAGGAGATGACCAAGGTCAGAAGGCCTGGGCGCTTGGCCTCCTCCCTGTCTGAGCCCTGTGTCTCAGACAGCACAATCAGCCTGTGAGGAGGTCCCCAATCCTATGAAGAGCACTCCCCACTACTGACTGTACCCAGGTCCTCCTGGCACTCCTGTGGGCAGGTGCAGTTCTGTCTCCCAGGTGGGAGTGCCAGCCAAGGCGACCTAGTCACCCTTCTGGCCACAGGTTAATTTCTGTGGCAAGTTATTCTCATCCTTAAGAGCTCAGGCTGGTAAGGGGGAACCCAGACCCAACCAAGCCTTCATATGCAGCTGAAGCCTGGCTGCTTCTAGGTATCTTCTGGAAGGGGCAGTCTTCCCGGCGAGAGCCTGTCCCTCAGGTGGGTAGGATGGAGGGCTGTGAGCCTGGTGGAGTCGGGCAGACCTAGGCTGTGCCAAGCATCCCGGAGCCCAAGACATGGGGAGGTAGAACGAGACCGGGGAGTTGTGGGGGTTTCCCTAGACAAGCAGCAGGCAGGGGCTTAAGGGCAACAGCCATACACTGCCAACCAATGTCAGGAGAACAGGCAAGGCAGGAAAGGGTCCAGCCACACGGCAAGGAAAGGACCAGCATTTGAACAGTCTACTAAGTAATTAGCAAAGGGAATGATAAATGGAAGTTAACAGTTAGTGCCGGTGAGGTACAGACAAGCAACCTCTTATCAGGAATGGCCACTCAAGTGCTGGGGATTCTTCCTGTGGGAATCATTTTAAACAGAAAAAGAGTTCGTGCCTATACATAAAAAAAAAAAAAAAAAAAAAAAAAAAAAA